AGGAAGGAAGGAAGGAAGGAAGGAAGGAAGGAAGGAAGGAAGGAAGGGAAGGAATTTGAAGCATACTGTTCTCCTATTTCTTCTATTTGGAAGAACTAGGTACATTTGCCAACTTCTCCCTTCCCAAATTTAATGTTTGTTTTGCCTGAAATGCTATGGTTACTCTGTGACAACTGTGCCTGCTTTTTTTTTTTATCTGTCCCAACACTGTATCCTGAATTTCTTCCGTGACCTAGTACAGACACACAAAGCTCTGTCTGCATCCCATCTTTCTATCTAGAGACTCACTAAACTGCCTGAGCATTTCTGGAAGACTCATTCCTCAGCCAAGAAATTCACTTCCAGAGTCTTCAGATTTCTCTGTGCACACATACCAGCACTACTACAACTACATGGCTGTCCCTTGGTGGTGTTGACTGTGATCTTTTGAAGGATGAGATGAGAGCACAAATCACTTTCCTGTTGGTCAAACTGAGGTCTTCTTTTATGGTCTCTCAATCCAGGCTGAATCTAAAGAGATGTATTGCTCATTGTCCCTGGGAAGATCAGTACCCTTCCTGTTGCAGATTATAGGACTTCTAGTGAAAACCTTTCCAACAGAGTGGCAAGGGCTACAAAACTGCACCAGTAAAATGTAACTCTTTGCATTTTCAAGGCCATGTGGAGAAGCCTGGTGTGTGAAGCTGTTTTTATATGAAACCCAGGCCTAGTTTCACAATGATGACATCACCTGTCCCTCTGGATTTCAGCAGATCTGTTAACTCTGAACCTAATGCACATGCAGGAACTGAAGTACAGATCTCCTCTGGGAGATGACAGCCAACCATTTGACTGGATAAGTCCACACTTATTCATTAGCAGCATAACAGGGAATTCTAGAACCCTAATATGGCCCTATTCTTCCAGGTGCTGTGTCTATGACCAAGACCAGTCACTGGTCCAAGGAATTTATAACTAGGATGCTACAGCATTTCCCCTGCTTCTTCTCACATTGATAACACCAAATAATGTTCTGTTTGCCTTACAACACTGGTTTCCAAAATTAAATGTACGTCTTCCATTTCTGCTTGTTGAAAGATGGGGCCTGCTGTGAGTGCACCAAGCAGTGAGAGCTGGTCAGGTGCTGTACCTGAGAAGAGAGACAGAAAAACTGCCTTCTAGCCCTTAAGGAGAATCAAAGTACTTACTCCTTTGAGAATCTGACAATGTTACCCTCCCTGAGGAGCAAAAGCAGAAGTAACATTCCTCAGCAAATGGTTGATAGCTCTGTTCCAAGTGAAGTATTGGAAATGTGACAAATGTCGCAGTTATGCCTTCTTCTGCTCTTAATCTATCCTCACGAACACCCTTATTTGCTGCAGCCACTCCTTGTCCTTTCTCTCAGGAATGTCCCTGTTGCCATGTCTCAGAGTTGTTGATCTCCACATTCACCACAGGATTTATTTTATGCTCTCTCACTGCTGCTTCCCATATCCTTTGGCTCACAGGCTTGACTCCATAACACGAAGGACTCAGTCCACAAGCCCTCCTTTCTTTCTGGCTCTCAGTGAGGAGAAGACACCAGCCAGTCACTCTAGTGGTCTCCCAGTTCTCAGCCCTCTATTGCTCTTTCCACAGACCTCCCACAGAGCAAGTTTCCTCCTTCTCTGTTTATTCACCCCCAAATACCACCATATAGACTTAATTAGGTCCAGCTGGGAAGCATGTGTTCGGTTGCAAGGACTTTGGACCCACATTAAAGGGGCAAGTTCTCCACGACAGAACGAGTTGGAGACTGGGTCCTTAATCTTTGCAAGAAGACAAATGCTGAAAAGAAGAGCTGCCCTTTTCGCTGACGGTCATGCATTGTCTGGAGAAGTATACCCCACTGATATCAAATAGGGTTGACAAAGGATTTGGCACCACCTTCTCTCTGACACATGCACAGTACCTTCAAGCTCTCTGGCCCAGTAACAATTCTCCTGACTGGTGGACTAGCAATTGCAAAATGAGCAAGTCACATGGGGTGTTCACCAGCCTTGGAAGCTTTCTCTAAGTTGCCATCAGACTCTTCCAGTGACTAAGGAGAAATCTACCACTGACTCTTAAGAGATTACATGTTCTTCAGGCTTGGTATACAGTTGGGAAGGATTCACCAGCAGTGAACAAAGATGGCAGCTCAGCACAGGTGACAACTCCGGCACTGACCAGGAACATGAGGCCTTACAGCAGCATCGCTGATATCTGTCTAGCTAAAGACAAAACCTCTGAACTGCGTATTTTATTTCTTCTGAGATATTCATGCTCATGGTACAAACTGCTCCAGGTTTCAGACCCTGGTGCACTTAGATGCAAAGCTGCAGTAAGACTTACAAAGCTCCCTCTCTCTGTTGCTCCAATTTCCATATTTTTTCCTGTTTCCTCCTTTCTGTAGGGAACAGTATGGAGTAGCTAGAACAGAAGCCACCATAAGACCATTAAACAGATGGATGGGAATAGAGCCTGTGAGGCTGAGTATTTCCTCTCTCCTTCAAACATACTGGTTACTAGAGCCAAGCAGACACAGAAGAGTAAGTAAGGTTAGCTATATAGAAATTTCAGGCAGCTTCCTGAAAAAGCAAAAGCTATTGAAACTAAGTTATGACTCCCTAGATTATCCATACTTTTTGGTGTTCAACAGTCATTGGTCTTCAGATTCGTTTTTTTTCCTGACACCAGGAAGCTGACACCAGAAAAGCATGAGAAATGTGAGTTGAAGACACTAAAAATAAAACATAATCTAAGAAAGATCTGTAAGTCATCCCATCTTGGTTGCACAGAAAGTCACTGTTTTTAGAACTTTTTTTGCAACACCGTCGATGTTC